TTTTGTTTTGGCTGTCTAGGATCCCGCCTTTGGGGGGGTACTGTCAGGTCCGCTCGGCACGACCTGCCTCTCTTCTGCCTTTCTCTGAGGGGGACAAACCATAACAACAGTAAACAGTTTAAATGGAAAAAAATGTTGCCTCCCCCCTCTTTTCTATAAGTAATGATATGTAGGTTATAAATCCTTTTTGAGTGAAACACAAGAAAGCAGTTTTGTTCCTTTTCTCTCACAACAGTAGAAAGACCTGAAACTATCAGAGGATGTATAAAGAACTGTGCACAATGGCCCAGTACAGCTCACAAATACAGAACTGTACAGAACAAATACAAAACTAATTTTGTGAATGGGTGAATGGTGTATAATCTCCTGTAAAGCGCTTTGACCAGTGTAACACACTGTGAGAAAGCGCTATATAAATACAGTCCATTTACCATTTACCATTCCCCTCCCTTACCTTTTCCTTCCTTCCCTTTCCCTCCCTTTTCTTCCTTTCCCCTCCATTCCATTCACCTCCCCTCCCTCCCCTTCCATTTACCTCCCTTCCCTTCCCCTCCCCTACCTTTCCTACCCTTGGCCTCCCTTCTCTTCCCTTCCCTGTTACTTCCTTTCCCTTCCATTCCTCTCACTTCCCTCCCTCTCCCCTCCCTTAACCCTTTTCCTGCCCTCCCTTCACTTCCCTTCTCTTGCCCTCCCTTCCCATTCCTTCCTTCCCCTCCCTTCCCTTTCCCTGCCCTCCCTTCTCTTCTCTTCCCTTCCCTTGCCCTGCCTTCACTTCCCTCCCCCTCGAATCCCTTCTGCTCCCATTCCTTCCCCTCCTCTCCCTTCACTTCCCTTCTCTTGCCCTCCCTTCCGTTCTCCTCCCTTCCCATTCCTTCCTTCCCCTCCCTCCCCTTCCATTTACCTCCCTTCCCTTTCTTCCCCCTCCCTTCTCTTCCCTTCCCTTGCCCTTCCTTCTGCTCCCATCCCTTCCCCTCCCCTCCCCTCCTTTCACTTCCCTTGCCCTGCCTTCACTTCCCTTCCCCTCAATTACCTTCTGCTCCCATTCTTTCCCCTCCTCTCCCTTCACTTCCCTTCTCTTCCCTTCCTTTCCCATCCCTTCCACTCCATTTCCTTGCCCTCCCTTCCCTTTTCTCCCCCTCCCCTCCCTTCACTTCCCATCCCTTCCCCTCCATTACCTTCACCTCCCCTCTCCTCCCCCTCCCTTCCATTATCTTCCCTTCCCTTCTCCTCCCCTCTCTTCCCATCCCATCCCAGTAATCACCAATGTTGGGAGATATTACAGGTCTACAATCTAACTCCAACCCCTGGACGACTAACGCTTAAAGGTTAGTCCCTATTTTATTAGATTCTTTAGCATGATAGTAATTTTGCATCACTAACCATGCTTTTTGTTGTTTTCACCAGGAGCTAATCCAGTGCTGAATACTGAGATAGTGATTACGGAGACGGACTACAACTCATACGCAATCATGTACTATCAGAAACAGGGGAAGACAACCATTAAACTCTATGGTGGGGGTCCTCAGCCATGTGATCTTTGTTTGGTATTTTAGATTTAAAAGCAAGTTGGTAAATCATAATTTGGTTAACTGAGACTATGCTGTAAATTTAATAATCCAGTTGTAATGTCATAATGTTTGGTTTTGTGCTCTATATGCAGGCAGGTCTGTAGATAACCTGTCAGAGCCAATGTTGACCAAGTTTGAGCAGCTTGCTGCAAAACAGGATTTTGGACTGGCATACCTGTTTCCTTTCCCCACATACAGTATGTTCACATCTAACAAGTGGATTGTGCAGAATAAACTAGAGCAATAGCTCTAATAATATTTAATGTAAGCTAACATAATAGGCCACAAGTCACAGACTATACACAACTTAAGTAGTATTCAGAAGTTGTTTGGAATATATTGTGTTACTTCTCTTCACAAAAATATGCACCATGCAATACAACACTACACCTAAGATCACTGATTTGTTAAAAGGTACATCAGCTTAAGGCAGACTATTACTAACATAAAAGTAGACTTGCTTCTTCACCTTTCATTAAATAACATGCTAACTGCTTTTCTCCTTTCAAGGTCACTGTGGTGACGTGGACCAGGATCATGTCATTAGTAAGTATTTTTAATAAAACATGAAGGCAAAGCAACCAAATAAGCAGAAATAATTTATTTTAAAAAATGCTGATAAAAGCAGATGACTATAAAACTAACATAAAAAAGGGCAGAAGTGAATGAAACTACTGACAAGGCAGTAGGAGGTGCAGACACACAAGCCAAGGAGTTGCTTAAACTGACTTTTTAATGAAAGATATTAACATAGGACTAGGTCAAAAAACACAAGAGGCTCAATCTGACACAAGTAACAGAATGTCGACAGAAACTTGCAACAAATAGTTCAGTCAGGGAGCTAGGCAAAAGAACAAGAGAAACAAATCTGAAAGCACAAACTGAAAAGCCACAACAGATGTGAACAGGCAGGGTGTGGTGAATGGGGAGTAGCAAACAGACGACAAGGGCAATGAAGTGTGGAGACGAACAGATGAGCCAGCAACCAGCCTGGGGGAAAGAGGGAGTATAAATACACAAGAGACCAAAGGAAAATGAGGGACAGGTGAAAACAATAAGTGGTGGTTGTAGACCAGCCTAAAGCTGGGGCAGATGAGGTGACAGAAAACAGGAAACTAATCAAAATAAAAGCCTCAAACAGGAAGCAAGTCCACAAATCCTAACAATAACAGAGAATAAAATATTTAAATGTAAAAGCAGAAAAGATTAAACATAAATAATGGATGTAAAGCATTATAATCAAAACCCAGGCTAAAAAGGAAAGTTTTATGTCTGTCTTTCAAAACACTGATACTTTTATCTGCCTCAACCAAATGTTTTTGTCCTGCACTTAGGAACAACTAAAAGCTTTAAAGTATCAGATGACCTGAGAAGCCATCCTAGTTCATATACTGGAAACATGTCAGATAAATAGGCTGGTGCAAGACCATAAAGTGCTGTAAAAACAAGTAAAAGAATTTTAAAATCAATATGGAAACTGACAGGCAATCAATGTAATGACTTTAAAACAGGTGTTCTCTCCTTCTGGTCCTAGTCAACACTCGGGGAGCAAAGGTCTGAATCAATTGTAACCGACTTTATGGAGTAGACTAGAGAGAGCATTACAATACTCCAGTCTACTGGATTAAAAAAAAAAAAAAAAACTCGTCTTAGTCTCTTTGTGTCATTCCAAATAAGAAATGGCTGCACTTCAGTGATATTTTTGAAATGACAACAGAAAAAAAAAAACAGATTTCATGACAAACCCCACATGAGCTTTAAAATTTAGTTTTTAGTTCAGGGTAACACCAGGGTTTCTGGCCTGTTGGCTTGGGGTCAGTCAATTGTGGTGCCGTTTTCTCTCTCTGAGCCTTTGAACCTATAATTAAAATTTTAGTCCTTGTTTAGCTGTAAAAACTATTGTGATAACCAGGCACTGACATCTAAAATGCATCTCAGATGTGTATCAATTTTTCCAGTGTCATCAGGAGACACAAGCACCTAAGGCTGAGTGTCATCAGCATATGCACTTAAAGAGATGCTATGTCTCCTGATCACACCACCAAGAGGTAACAAATAGATTAAAAAGCAGTGCCCTAAAATTGATCCTTGGAGACCCCATAAGCGATTGTAAATGGTTTAGAAAATGTATCATTATGACAAAGAACTGTCTGCCACAAAGATAAGAAGCAAACAAACTGAAAACAGTTCCAGACAGTCCAGTGTGATCCCTCTGTATCAAAGGCAGGTCTCAGGTCCAAACTGTCAGCTTACTAGCATCTAGATTTGTCCCAGTATCATCACTTATTTTTACTGTTGCTATGGTAAGCATGGAAACCAGAGTGAAACACTTCTACCTTGTTATTTTTATTATGAAAACTTATTAATTGTGTGTATACCAGTTTCTTACAATTGGAAGGTAGGAAATTTGTTTGTAATTACTTGCTATTGATGGATGTAGGCCTTCTTTTTTCACAAGAGGTTTAACCAGCACCTTCTTAAATTCTATAGGGAAAATGGCCAACAGCAAAGAATAATAAATGATTGTTAAGACTTCCTCAGAAATGGAATAAAAACCATTTTTAAAAAATAGGTTGGTTTTAGGCTAAGATCGCAAGTATAAAACTTTCATTTTGTCTTTCCTGACCATTTCATCTCAAACTAGGTCAAAACTGTCCAGTGTGGGCTAACATTGTGTACCGGATGTTTTTGTTATAGCAGTGTGTTGTTGAGAAATACCAGATGTAATGGTGGTTGTTTTCTCTGTGAAGTGGTCTGCAAATTCCTCATGTTTGGCAGCAACACACTGCTAAGGCCTGAAGTTAGACTAACAAGGTTATAAACTGTGTTAAATAGCACTCTGGGATTCCTCATGTTAGTATTTTTAAACTGGTAAAATAAAGGTGTCTGCCAGTGTGAAATACTTTATTGCAAATGTTACAAATTTCTACTAAAATTAAAATTTCAAAGTACTTTTTGAGATTTGATGTGGCATAAAACTTGACTTTTGTGAAAGCTGAATGAACAAAGTTATTACAATAGGCAGCTCTGTCTATAGAGAGAGAGAGATTGGTTGAGAGCAGCTGTTTAAGAAAACCAGTGAGCTGCTGCCATGACCTTTCCATACATGTTTCATTTTTATTCCTGCAGGCTGATCATGTGTTGGCTTCAACTTGTGCAATTATCAGTTATTTAAACTTTGAAAACATGTTATTCGGTTTCCACTGAAAGATAAACACATCAGCACAGCTTTTATACAATTAAACCTGACACTCTTTGTTTTACAGACTGTGTCCCCACATGTTGAAGAAGCAGAACTGTGCAACAAACAAATCCACTCTGACAGCGTTTGGCAGTTCTCATGCAAATACCAGGATATGTTTTGTGATTTTAAAATGTGAGAGACAAGACAGCTGTCAAAAGACTCCTACAGAGTGTTCAAACTATAAAAGCTGTCAGCTTTAAATGTTACCAATTACACATGAATAAAACAAAAAAGAAAAATTAAGCTATTGTCAAATGTTTTCACTTAGAAGGTTTATAATAGACATGGCATTATTATGCAAGACCTACTATTATATTAACAAGTTTATAGAATGTATGTCAATATGCAGCTTATGGGATGTGTGTGAGGACAGAAAGGGATGGCGGGGTCTGGAGTTAATGAATCCCAGATATGCAGGGGCCAAAGGGTTGAGAGAGTTTGATCACAAAACTAGGTTACAAAATATGCTTCTTATCACAAAACTAGGTTACAAGCGTCTTAGGCTGCTCTGTAAACATTTCAGTACCTCTGTGTGTGTGTGTGTGTGTGTGTGTGTGTGTGTGTGTGTGTGTGCATGTGTGCGTGCACTCCTGGCATTACTGACATTGTGGGGACTTGGCCTTCCATGTGGTAACCAGATGTTGGCCACCATCATGTAAATCACCGAATTTTACAGTGATAACTTGTGTTAAGTTGAAGTTAGTTTAAGGTAAGTCTCCATGGCATGAATTTAAGTTAATGTAAAGTGTACTACAGAATGAGTTGACTGCAAGTCAGGCCTGTCTTGTTTCCTAAAAAAAGGAGATTTGGTGAGTGCATCAATATATTTAAGTGGATGTATGAGAGTGACCCAGGAAGTGAGGCTTGAGCATATGAGGAGACGGATTGATGCTAGAAACTGAATGGGGAAGCAGGAGGGTGCAGGACCAAAGCTCTGGAGGACAGCACTGGAACCTTCCCACAGAGTTGAACTGGAAGGTGGCATCTGTGAGTGTGTGTTGCTTCTCCTGAGAGAGGCTAGTTAGTGGGTCTCCGTAAAAAATAAGCCGGGGAGAAGTGCTGGGTGGAAAGATAGCAGGAAAGAGGAGGAAGTCATCTAAACAGGTACTGAAGAGGCAGCCATTGAGGTATCAGGAAATGAGGATGGTGAGTGCTATGGTCTTGCAACTGAGGTGTAGCTAACTGGCAGCAGAGCTGGTAACTGGATAGTCAAGAAGAGATTCAGAGTAATACCGATAGGCAGAAGCTAACTTCACAACTGGGATCTAAACAGGTAAATGAGAAACAGAGAGAAATGTCTAATACTAACGAGACAAACTGGTGACGAAGACACACCAGCTACTGGGTTGATTAGTTTCAGGTGTGCCTCGTCGCCGAGTGTGGGTGCTGGAATGTGAGGGGGCTGAGGTTCAGGCCACAGACGTGACAGGGGTGGTGTCAGACACACTGCTGTGGGGTGCAAAACTTTTTCTACCTTGAATGGGCCCAAGAAATGAGGCGCTAGTTTTTGGGAGGTCCCCTTCAGGAGGATATGTTCAGACGACAGCCATACTTTTAGACCCGGGATATAGGCGGGCACAGGTTGGCGATGACGCTCTGCAAGATGATGGTTGTGCTCCACTGTGTGACTCAGAGCTGCCCGGGGTTTTTTCCAGATGTGTCAAGAGTGCCATAACTGAGCTTGAGGGCACAGCGAAGGTGGTGTGACCTTGACTCAATGTCTACAACCTCTCCCGGCATCTTTTCAAAGGTCTGCCCAATCACGCCCCTCCAGGTGTCACTGTTGCTGCCCACATGAGCGTTGAAGTCCCCCAGTAGAACAATGGAGTCCCCAGTCGGAGCATTTTCCAGCATCCCTCCCAGAGACTCCAAGAAGGCTGGGTACTCTGCACTGCCATTCGGCTCATAGGCACAAACGACAGTGACAGATCTATCCCTGACCTGAAGGCATTCCAGAGCCCAAGCTGTGCATGGAGGCAAGCCCAACTATCTCTAGCCGGTACCTCTCAACCTCCCGCACAAGCTCGGGCTCCTTCCCACCCAGCGAGGTGACATTCCATGCCCCCAGGGCTAGTCTCTGTGTCCAGAGATCAGGTCATCAGGGCCCTTGCCTTCAACTGTTGCCTGATCCACTGTACACCAGCCCCTTACAGATCCTCCTGCAGGTGGTGGGCCCACGGGAGGACATCCCCACGTTGCTCGTTCGGGCTAAGCCAGGCTGGGCCCTGTGAGGGGAGGCCCGGCCACAAGGCGCTCGCATTCAAGCCCCAACCCCGGGCCTGGCTCCAGGGTGGGGCCCTGGCTGCGCCATGCTGGGCGACATCACGGTCCTTGATTTTAATCTATTCATAAAGGGCTTTTTGAACCACTCTTAGTCTGACCTGTCACCTAGGACCTGTTTGCCTTAGGAGGCCCTACCAGGGGCATACAGCCCCCTACAACATAGCTCCTAGGATCACTCGGGTAGTCAAACCCATCCACCACAATAAGGTGGCGGTTAAAGGAGGACCCCAAACCATTCTCAGGTGAATTAAACAAATGCCAAGGTTTTCTTTTCCAGTGCTCTATGGTTTTTGAACAACAAGCTCTTACCTCAGATCCAGCCAAGCAGGTGTACATAGTTAATCTGCTCAGGGGTAACACATTAGCCTGGGCCAAAGCATTACTTTCTCATCCGACCTCCTGAACTTTTAGTGCAGAACAGTTCCAACAAGAACTGCGCAAGGTATTTGACCACCCTGATTATTCAGGTAATGCAGCTAAACAACTACTCACTCTCCGCCCGGGCGCAAAGAGTGTAGGTGAGTTCACAGTAGATTTCTGCATACTGGCTGCTGACGTGGGGTGGAACAGCACAGCACTGAGCACAGTTTTTGTCAGTGGGTTGAATGAAATGTTAAAGGATGAATTGGCAGCACAAGAAGAACTGGAGGATTTTGACAGTCTGGTGTCCTTGGCAATAGATAACCACCTCCGTGAAACAATGTTGCGAACCAGGGCAGGCTCATCAAGCCTCGCCTAGATCTCAGCCAGCATCAATCCCCCCGAGTAGAGCTGCCGATTTCCAACTGTGCTCAGCGCTTTCTCATAATCTGCTTTTGCCAACCCACCAGCAAGTCGTCCTTCTCCTGAGTCTGATCCCAAACCCCTGGATCCCGGGTCACAGCAGAGTACTGTGACATGGAAAACGTATTTCGCAAAGATCTAGCCCAGTCCTTAATCCATTGACCTCCTCCCTGGTACTCCCTTACCATCTAGCAGACTTTACAATTTGTCTAAACGGAACAAGTAGGCAATGGAGCAGTACATCCAACAATCTCTGTGCTCCGTCCTTATCCGACCCTCTTCTTCGGAGAGATGAATGGAAGACACCCTTAAAAAAACACCGTTGGGACATTATGAGTACTTGGTGATGCCATTTGGCCTCACCAATGCCCCGGCCATCTTCTAGTCCCTCATGAACAACGTCCTCCATGATTTTCACAATTGTTTTGTTTTTGTGTACTTGGATGATGTACTCATATTCTCCCACTCTCTTGCTGAACACACCTGACATGTCCACAAAGTTCTCCAACATCTCTTAGAAAAGCATCTGTGTTAAGGCAGAGAAATGCAAGTTTCACGTGAGGATAGTGAGCTTTTTGGGGTTTATCGTTGAGCAGGGGAGGATCAAGGTAGATCCTGGGAAGGTGCATGCTGTTATGGAGTAGCCTGTCCCCAATACTCGCAAGGATCTCCAGAGGTTCTTAGGTTTTGCTAACTTCTGTCACCAGTTTATCAAGAATTACAGCAAGGTGGCAGCCCCACTTACCAAGCTCACATCCTCTGTCACCAAATTCATGTGGACCGATGAGGCAGACAAAGCCATCCAGTGGCTCAGACAGGTTTACTTCTGCCCCTGTGCTGACCCAACCAGACCCCACACATCAGTTCATTGTAGAGGTGGATGCTTCTGACACCACTGTGGGGGCTGTCTTGAGTCAGAAGTCAGACCAGGATGGCACTGTTTATCCTTGCACCTTCTTTTCCCAGTGGCTCTCCCCAGTGGAAAGAAACTATGACATGGGAAACAGAGAGCTGTTAGCTATTAAATTAGCGCTGGAGGAGTGGAGGCATTTTTTCATTTATTATATTGATTATATTTTATATTGTTGTTTGTGGGTTTATAATATATACTGTTTTATTGCAATGTATACTTTGGTCCACTTTGGTTGTTTTTAGTGCTTTATAAATAAAGTTGGTATGGTATGGTATGGTATTTTTTATCCTGCCAGAATTGTGTGTGGTGGCTATGGTCACTTGGGACGTTATGCAAAAGATAACACAGGAGCACAAGAAGCCCAGCCTGACCCTGGTGGAGGACCTCCGGTGGAGAAATTTGCACACTTATCAAACAGCTGTTTTGATAGACCAGGCATGGCTGAGCATTTGTGATGGAGGAGAGAGAACAATAGGAATCTAGCCACAGGGGTTGCAAGCCAGTGACTTCTGTGCCGGTCCCAAGCCCAGATAAATAAAGAGGGTTGCCTCAGGAAGGGCATCTGTCGTAACAATATGCCAAATTTAAACATGTGGATCATCAGTGTGAATTCCATACCGGATCGGTCGAGGCCCGGGTTAACAACGACTGCCACCAGTGCTGTTGACCTACAGGGTGCTGGCGGAAATTGGACTACTGTTAGTCGAAGAAGGAGAGGAGGTAGAAGGATTCGTAGACAGAGAGAGAAGAGGAAAGGCAGGAGTATAGGTCTGAGAATAGGGACTCTTAACGTTGGCACAATGACAGGGAAAGGTAGAGAGCTGGCGGACATGATGGAGAGAAGGAAGATAGATATACTGTGTGTGCAGGAGACCAGGTGGAAGGGTAGCAAAG